TCATTGTATGATACTATCCTGTCAATTACAAGTTGTTGATATGCATTTCATTGGATAAAAGTGCCTTTTTGAGTTTAACCAAATTTAACTTGAAGATGAAGAGACAATCAAGCCAAAATGCCAACGTCAAGAAAGTACTAAATTAATTAAGTTCTGTATCTGCATGTGATTCAGGGACACAGCCAAATGGGGTCGAAGGGGTCCTGATTCCCTCGATTTAATCAAAAGTTTTAAAATCCTGAAAATGATTCGTAATGCGAAAAAAATATAATATTTGAAAAGAGGCTACCCTCCTTTTATTTATGATTTACTGGGTAATTGAATGACCTTTGCCTCTGAGACCCGGTGTGCACACATGTCATGTAGAAATCTCAAATGCCTTGTACATATAATAGCAATAATTAAAGTTGAAATAAAAAAACATTGTTACAATCACTGCAACTCATTGGTTACCTTTATCGAGGTAGCAAATGAAAACACTGTATTTTATTACAGTAGTTGGTATAATCAGGGATGAGTATAAATTACAGTTTACCCTCCCTGAGCAGTTTACCCTCCCTCTCATATGTTCAAGTTTGTTCTCCCCATCTAATCACTGTATTTGATACCTCTCGCCATCACCACCCGTAAAAAAACCGCGACCACTTTTTGACTTTTGGATTTTTCTTATGATTTACCTCCAAAAGCGACCACCTTAAAAGTTTGTAATGTATTATATATGATAAACGGTCACAAAGAGAACGTACATTTAATGGTTTACTTCAAGAATTTTGTCTGTGTTCATTATTATTATTATTATTATTATTAATATTATTATTATAATATTATTGTTGTTGTTGTTGTTGTTATAGTATTATTGTTATAATTATTATAATTATTATTATTATTATTAAGGCAAACAGTGTTTGTAGCTGCTGTTGTTACTATTATATTATAATTGTTAATTACCAACCTGTAGCTCTGGAAGGATGACAGTGAAGACAGCCTTACAATAGCCAACTAAACTCAATGGATTAACAACAACATCATTTTGTAGTTCTGTAATTGTACGGATGAATACAATTTCACCAAGATCATACAGATAGTCTAGCAAAGCAATTTGGGCATTTTCATCTGATACTCCACACTTTGTAGCAATAGACTTCACCTGGAAAAACAAAATTATATTTGTAGGCAGAAATAGCTAAAGTAGATTAATGGAATAGCCATGGCAGTGGGAGCTTCTGGTCAATGCTCAGAAGAGCCTCATAACAGATCTACAATTGGGCAAATGTTAATTTTGATTGGATAATTACCGGTTGTTACGTCACAGTAACATGAATTGTAGAGAGGGGATTGACCCAGGGTTCAGATTTGATACTGGGAGAAAATGAAGTTAAGAGGTAGAGTATGTGACGCCAATATCACCTATATCTGGTAATTCCCCTGTTCATACATCTTGTACAGTAGGCCTCAATGAAGAGCAAGTTACCTGTTGCATAATTTTGCTAATGAAGTAGCAGTTGCCAGTGAACTTAGCAACTGTTATACATGTAAGCATGTTCAACTGAGTTTTAAATCAAATCGGAAAGGTAAACTTTTCGTGAACCCTAGCTCAAAGGCATCCTGATAGACGTCGATCTAGGAGGAATGCTACAATATATATGACAGAATAACCAATAGGCAAATAGTGTTGCAACGTCTAACCCCTGATTCTGTTTGTAAATGTATAATTTGAAATTACAACAATACATATAAAATCTACAATAGTATATTTATTAAATATAAAAGTATCTATGTTATCCATACCTCTTCCAAAGGACAAATCACTTTCTCCTCACTTAATTTTTGGATTTCACTTTGAAAATGCACCCAACTGAGAGGAATCGTCCTAACCATTATCTTCATCAGCTTTAACAGTTCCTTTTTAAGCTTTGCAATATTTTCATCATTCAGTGAGCTGTTTTCCACACAAAAATATGTTGTATGTACATGTGATTCATAGGGAGTGCCTGCTAATGCACGTTTTATTTTGTCAAACTTCTCTTTCACCTAAAAAGTCAAACAAAAAAGATATATTCTAGTAATAAGGTATAGTAAAAACAATTATTCATACATGTGATTAAATTGGTAGTTAGAAAACAAAACAAAATTAGTCCTAACAAATTTGGAAGCAAATGTAATTTTGCACCGAGAGCATGCCACACTTTGTTTGAATCAGAGTGTAAATGATCATGTTGTGGCACTGATAGTGTTGCTTCGCGTGCAATAGGAGTGTGTTATAATAACTTCATCAAAAAAGCATCCTTTTCTATCCACATATGTCTTGGTGTCACGGGTTATGTCCATAACTGTCCAATGCTCATAATTTCAATAGTTATAATTTATCTCAGTAACTTGTTTAGGGAAACTAATAATTACATCGATCCTCTTATCACAAGATCATTCAAGCATTAATTTGATGTCAACCAAAAATTAATGTGTGTTAGTGCATCAACAATCTGCATATGGCCAACTAATTACTTAATATGGCATATGAAAGTACTAATTTTAGTTTGTTCATAGTTCGATTATTTTAAAGATTTGCTTGCAACAAGATATGTAAACATAAAGTCAATTTAAAATTAAAAGGATGAAGATTAAAAGTTGTCTTATCTACAGCCTATAGTAATGGAAAAAATATTGTCATCTTATAAAGGAGAACATTTCAGGGAGATGATTCTGGCAACACTTAAACAGTGATATAAAATACAAAGTTCTACTGGTAGGTAAGCTCATGGGGGAAAGCAAAACCCTTCTTGCTCATCCTATCACAGTTACTTTTACAACCCTATCCTACTGGAAGAGTTGAACATTCCTATCCCAATTTTCCGTCAACAAATCATAATAATTGACCAATCGTCAGTAAAATTCACTTCATGTCACCAACTTCTCTCCAAGCAACCATCGCACTTGATTTTCTTACTAAATATGAATTGGATATTTCCGTTATTTATATGAAAAGAGCATAAAGGAGTTGTTTAAAGAGAATACTAATGCAGGGCCTGGTTGTTCAAATGATGCACTGATCCGTGAATAAACTCGTGTATTTTTGATCAAGAACATTTGATTGGTGCACCAATGTTAATTCAGTACTATCCCCATTCAGACCTGCAAGTGAATTTGGCAGACGACCATTCCAGATTTTAGGAGAAAACGTAATGTAATGTGCGAACGTTCAGACATGTACCGTTAATTCAAAATGAAATCATTAAGTTCTATGTTCTATGTCGTCACAAATCAAAAACTTCCAATTACGCAAGGTAGACAAACTAAAAATGCACTGACCACAGCAGGATCAGGCTCATAATGGTTAAGAACTCTTAACATCACCCTCACTATTAACACTGTAGCCATTGGTTTTTATCATTTCATAATTTTCTTTATTATGATTTTATTTTTGTTTTTTATGTATTTTTTACTTTTAAATTTTTTCACTGAGATCAAGTTTGTAATTTTTTTCCTTACTCCATGATTTTCTTTACTATGATTATATTTTTGTATTTTTTATATATCGTTTACTTTTTTAAACATCACTTCTCATTATGGCAATAATAATAATAATAATGATAATAATAGACATAGTAAGTCTAGTTCTCCTTCTATCCAGTTTTCCTATCTTTTTGCATAAGGTTTTTCTGATGGCACTTTGGTTACTTTCCTTGCTTAGATATAAGCAAAGACCATATACTATTTTAAATATGTGCATATTAAAATATGACATAATTCTACATATTTTGAATATTAAAAAAGGATTGTAGGGATTAAGTTCTTGGTGTGTTGCTTAGAATTCTTCATATCACCTTGTTATTACAATTGAAGCCCTCATCTGAGTTTTTTGTTTGTATTTTTACTGTATAATTTTTAATGATATTTTAAAACTTTGTAATTCAACATCAGTTTTCATAATTGCAAATGAGGAAAAGAACTATGATCTGTTTTACAAACAGATTTAGTAAGTGTACTTTTTTTTTTCAAGGCTAATAGTGGGTGTGATCGTGGATCAAGCATTTCCATACAATTGCTCCTGGGAGTAGCTGATAGCAAGTAGGGACTGTATGGAAGTACTAAAATATAAAAATAATATCAACAGAATTACCGTTCGATTTCTCTCATTTTCGTCTTTTCCAAGAATTAGTGAACCACTGTGGGTGCCCACAATAAAAACAGATGGCAAATCTGTACTACTGTCAGCGTCTTGTTCCATTACACGAGTGTCAGAGTAAATGGTACTAATCCAGTACAGGATAACCTGAAGATTCGTCATATGGTATTTATGCCATTCCTACAATAAAACATTAAAAGATACAACTGAACTGATAAGTTTAAAAGTATCACAATCATATATTCCAATTTTGAGTAATGCTGTTTGCATCAGGAAACACAATAGGAGTGTTTATGCCCAACCTGATGTGGTGGGTTCAGGAATTCGAAATAGAGGAAGCCCTTTCGCAGATGGAAGGTCGACCTAGACCACCTCAGCCCCACCGGCAGTATTAGTATTTTAATGCAATTTTCTATTTTCTCCAAAATAATTTTTACAAATTTAAGGGGCCCGTGCTGCCTTCCGCCTTGAATCCACCACCACTGGTGTTATTATGAGCACTAGGTAGAGACCGGCACTACAGAAGTTTCTAGAATTATCATTATCATACTGAATACTCAGTATGTCCCCAAACTAAATCTCAGTTGATTTAGGCAGTAATTGAATATATGACATGTTGCTATTGGGATTGAAATTCTAACCTAGCCATTAAGCGCAAGCTCAGTGGCCTAGTATTTATGATACCACTCTTAATCTGGAGGTTGAGGGTTGGAAAAATACTGAGTATTCAGTATGACATGTCAGATTGGACAAAAAACATTTTATTTTTTTACACATCTAAACAGCATGTAGCCATCACATAACATGATGGAATACAGTAACACAATATATTTAATATGTTTCAATGATAAATATTATTTTATTGTTAGTCTTAAATTAAAATACAAGTTTCTATTTTCTCCATAATAATTTTGACTCTCTTTTTCATTTTAAGAAATGCGAACCTACTGAGATCAAGTAGGATATGATGTATGATAATAAAATACTATATTAGTAATGCATATCATGACTTTGGACTTGTATGCAAACATTACCGCTATCTGTAGAGTTTTTAATCTATTAAATCTGGTGTGCTGTAGATCTACAGCCATTTAAGATACCTCTGTTTATATAAAGAAGCTAGTAGGTTAAAAAATATGTCTCTAATACCTTGGAAGAATCCAGGACAAATGCAAATGAATCAAGGTTGTCTTCAAGATTGAAGACTACAAGATAAACAGCAACAGAAACCATGAGAATCTGTGAAAATAATAATAAAAATAATTTTGAGAATTGTGGATGTGACATACCTCTTATCTAATAGTGACACTTATGTGCATTTAAATATCTCCAAAATAAACAAGACCAAACAATATGTTGTTACATGCATAAAACAAACCGAAAATGATTTAAATTTGATATTTCGTGCCAACTCAATCCACCAAAATCTGACTTTCAACATTTAAGATTTGCCCTTCACTTAATTTTAAAAATGGAAGACCAGCATACAATTAATGTACAGCTAAAATAATTCAGTTCAATTCAAGTTTATTCACTAACCAGAAACAATTAAATCTTTTCATGGTATACTACCGCAAAACCTTGAATTGAAGCCCAGTGGGCTTAATCTCGAGATGAAGCCCATCTCGAATTGAAGCCCCCTCTTTAGTTTGCAAAGTTAGCCTCGAAAAGAAGCCCATGGGCTTCTTTTCAAGATAGTATAGCCTTCTTTTCGAGATAGTACAGTACATAAACTGTACATTAATTTCAAAAAACAAAATATAAAGTTTTAAAAAATTGATTGGTTTATACAGTAGTTTAGGTGATTTAATGTCAGTTTAATACACTCTATGATACAGCCTGATGTTACATTCGCCTTATTCTGTTTTATAATACAAATTCCTAAAATTTACAGCATTCATTTTGAAAACAAACCCTGTTCTTCACTTTGCGAAAGTAGTCAAAAACAAAAAATCCCATCCAAAGTTCGCAAAAAAGAAGCCCAAGGCTTCAATTCAAGGTTTTACAGTATATTATATTTGCCAATTTATATTAAAACCCCGTTCTGCAACCTTTTTATCCCACAACCCAAATTATATATCAAGCACTCAGACGCGACCCATCGAACCCGAAGTCAATAAATCATGTCTGTCATTTATAAGTGCAAGGGATAGCTGGTATTAGAAGACACTACCCATTTTATTCTTTTGGAAATAGATACTATCACCCACAAAATCAATTTAATACCCATAAAAATTAAAATGGAACTTTGAATTACTAATTTAACTAAACCACGTTTAGATTTGTAAAAATTGGTGATTTACAGACACTTTACTGTACATAAAATCCTAGATTTGCTGCCAGAAATTTATGGGTTATGCAAAGACATAGACAAATTAAATTGAAATATTTTCAGCTGAAGCCAAACACAGTTGAAATGAAGAAAACTAACACTTTCAGGCTATAGAATAGAATATTTTTTAACATGAAACTGTGATAACACACGCATTACAAAAGTAAACTGACGCACATACCACACTTTAACCCTTTCACTGCTGTAGGTATATGCACCCCCTGTGCTGGGACTTTTTTTAACGAAAAAAGTTAATTTTTAAAATAATTCAAAAAAAATACTAAAAGAGGTTATTTCGAAATTATTTTTGTGTGTTGGGGCGAGCAATAGGTTGGCATACGCGAGGAACATTGATATTTGGTATTTTTCATAATTAGGTAGTCATGTGACCTCAAAGTCGCCATTTTGAATTTCTGTTTTTTCTCAAATATTGATAAAAAACCCAATTTTTCCCAATGAAATTTTTATGGAATGTTTTTTTTTTTACTTTATAATGATGCAGACACACAAGATGAATAAAAACAAAAAAAAAATGAGTTAGTTTGATCGTTTTATTCCAAAACCGCAAATAATCAAAGTTTTTCTTCAAAATTGTGAAAATATAAAATTTTGCAGAAAATCACTGTTAGATGTACTTTTTGCCATACGTTTTTATTTATGCTTTATATAATCCAGGTTGTAAAAATAAATGCATCGTTGCAAACACCATACGGTTACTTTATTTTAGAACTATACAAATTAGCCTGTTCTATTGTGTGAAATGTGGAAAGGAAATCTGCGGACAAGGCATTGCCACCTTGACCATGTGCAGGGCCTCCCAAGTTGAGAGAATCATCGTTTTCGTCTGTGATAACACACGCATTACAAAAGTAAACTGACGCACATGCCACACTTTAATTGCACTTATGTTTACTATAGTTTAAGTTTGTTTGTTCTTGTTCGCAATAAGTAATTTTTTCATGATCTAAACACATTATGCAACCTATCTAATTTTTTTCAAGACTCAAACATTGGGTCACGACCTATAGGTTGTAAAACAGTGATTAATGGGTTATGAGAAGACACAGACATATTTAATTGAAGAGAAAACTGTTTTCTCGTTATGATTTTCACGTGAATGTCAAACAAAATTTAAATGAACAAAACTAACACTTTCAGGTTGTCAACCTGAAGTACAAATGTTTTGACAGTGTATTTTTTAACATGAAACATTGATATTAACGCACACATCACAAAATTAAATTGACGCACATGCCAAAGAATAATTGCACTTTCATTTACTGTAATTTGATTTCATTTGTCCTTGTTCGTATTGAGTAAAGTTTTCACGATCTGAAGAGCTTGTGGGACCCACCAAATTTTTTCCGCGACCCAAGTATTGGGTCGCGACACATAGGTTGAGCAATGTATTAAAACATAGTAAAATACACCAAAAATATACAAAAAAAAAATTAAATTTATAAAATGGCAATCAAGAACAAAAAACCAACACAGAAAATTTGAAGAAAAAAACAACAACCACAGACAGGCACATTTAATGTTTGCCAGGAGACAAAAGTGAGGAACATGTAATAGCACCATTATGTGTCTGTCCAACCAAATTTCACAATAAAAAAACAAAATAAAACAACAAAAACAATAAAAAAGAGAAAAGCGAAAAAATAAAAAACAAAACAAAACCAATAAACATTTTAAAACTAACAAAGTAAGCTCTTAAGTTGAATTTGAAAATACTGAATGATTACAAAACAGTGGCGGATCCAGAAATTTGAAATAGAGGGGACCCAGGGAGGGACTTTCCGGGTTGTGGGTCTGTACACCTCAGCCCCACCACGGTTGGGACCGAGGTTATGAATATGGCACCTCTAGATGACCAGAAATGGCACTCTCAGACTTAAAATTTGAATATAATTTTCCTTTTTCTTTGATTTTTTACCTTAATTTTGAAAAATTTAGGGGGCCCAGGCCACCTGGGCCTCCTTTGATCTGCCACTGCAAAATAAAAGATTCTTGAATATTATTAGGCATTTAGGGACGTCCAGATACTTAGATAAGAGATAACAGAGCTACTGATCAAAGTACAGGTTGTCCATATAAATGATAGAACTCATGTACATATATGTCACTCTCTCACCAATTAATAATCATGCCCACCCACCCCCTCCTCCCAACTATGCTCCACCTAGTCTTACACAACCTAAAAGTAAAAACAAACAAATATTGACATTGCTATATAGGTTTATTACTATTGTACCACTAATTACTATTGTACCACTAATTACTATTGTATCACTAATTTTCATTAGATTTTAGTCAAATTCATATTGCTTAAAAAAATAAATAAACAAATCTAAATATTTATCTGGTATCTTAGAGATATATAATTTCTATTACCAAGATGTAAATATTAAGCAAAAATAACACCTGATATGGTAGCATGCTTTTACTCCAATTCTAGCATTTATAACATTTAAACCTTTTCTGATTACAAGATACTTTACCCTTTGTATGCCTTTGTAGATGAGTTGGCCTCCAAAGTCCAGAATGTTAAAGGTCCCTTCTTGTGCTCTGTGCCATTTTCCTAATGTTTCCTTCTTCTTCACAGTTTCTTTCAGGTTGTCCTCAATCTTCTTCTGAACCTGCTCAGGTACACGGTCTTCTTGCAATGTGACTATTTCTTCTTCAGTGGAATGTTGTCTAACACTTTTTCTTCTGACTTCTGAATGAGGCACTGGGGACTGAACATCCGATCTCTTGGTTGGGAGTCTGCGTTGTACCCACTTCGTAAACTTCTTTAATTTATCAGGTACCTTACTCTTGACCTACAGGTATTGGTATTTACACTCATAATTAGTTCAGAGGAATATAACTATCAAAAAGTATTGGCACCGTGCCCGTAAGCAGATTTTATTAGGTGGGTGCGAATTTATGGAAAGTCTGTCTCTTATACACATCTAGATGTGTATAAGAGACAGGTTT